GTGTGTGTGTGTGTGTGTGTGTGTGTGTGTATTTTAAACAAACTAGAAAAGGGAATAATGTTTTCCATTTTGCTGCTACCTTATTTTTGGGGGCTAAGAGCTATTGGTTGAGTAAGGTTTGGAATGCAGGACATGGCAGGTAGTACTTATGACTTGGGAGCAAAGGGCACTGAGGGTGATCTGTGTTGCAGAAAATATATAACTCATGGGTCAAGTTTCAGGGAAGCTGCCCAAGGGCTTGAACTTCCCCACTTTCAGGTTTCAGGTATGGAAACAATCACAAAGAGATTGAAAAACTACAATAATGGAAAAATGGTGAACCTGAAATATTTAATTTGGATCGATTTCTTAGAAAAACATGAACTCGTAGTTTTATGTGAATGATGCTGGGAGGGTATGACTTCCTTGATCCCAAAGATTTGACTTTTTTCCTGAATGATGCCTTGATAATATGTCATAGAAACAGATGGTTTGCCAGAGAGAGGCCACCTGGCCTTACGGAAGGGTCAGTTTCTGAAGATGGATGTCCTGGGTTCTGAGTTAGCCAACCTTAGGCACAGAAGACAGGATCCCCTAGCAGAGTCCCTGGAAAATAGGCATTTAATAAGTGGAGGAATATCAGGAGGCGGTAGAGCATCATAAGAAAGGTCAGGGATTTTGGAGCCAGAGGGAATGGGTTGCTGTCAACTATATTACTTATTATTAGTTATGTGACATACTGGAACAAGTTACTTTACCTGTTTTGGACTCATTTTCCTCATCAGTAAAGTGAGGGTGATAATAGTTACTGTCTTCATGAATAGTTTTTAAGATTAAAAGCGGCATTATAAACAAGCTGCTTAGCATGACTTCAGATATATAATAAACATGGTACCTTTCCTTATGTCCCCAATGGTAGGTTTTACAGATACCTGTTCACTCACAGAGTCACAGGACTCCTTGAGTTGCTGCTGTGTGCCAGGCACTGTGCTGCACTCAGCACACAGCTGTGACACAGGCAGCAGCTGGAGGTAGCCATCTAAAAGTGAAGCTCCACTCTCCATATGAAGTGGGGGCTCTCCCGAAGGATGGGCTCTTTCCTAGTTCCAGAAACTAGAACTGGAACAAACCTAGGGTCCGTTGTAGCATGGAATTCTGCCTGTTTGGATTTTACTGGAAAGGAATTAGGATGTTAGGGTAGCGGGTGATAAGATGGTATACGATGCTACATGAAAAAATTCATGGAAATATTCATTTTCGATTCTATTTTTCTGCAAACTTTTTGAAGTACCCTTATACTCCATGCAGAGGAAGACAGTGAGTCCCAAGTGTGGAACCCAAGCAGGAGGGTCTGGGCCACCCCATGGGGAATCTCTCTTATAGTTGGGACTGGCAGGGGTGGAGGGAAGTTAGCATGCTGGCTGGCCAGGTCTGTGTAAGCCTTAATGTTTGTATAGATTCTTCATTTTCTAATGATTTCCTTGTTTCTCCCTAAGCATTTAGGATAGGCTTGCAGAGTTCTAGCCAAGGCACAGAGCTTTTGGCATGGTAGGATCACTGTCAAGGAGCAGCATCCTTGGGGGCCTTTGCAGAAGAGACAGTAGAAAGCCAAGAGAGGGAATTCCAAGTAAAGTAAGAAGATGTGTGGTTGGTAGAGGACATGTGGAGCAGTTAGCTTGGTCAGTCTTCCTCCTATTTGCACATAAAGAAACTGAGGAAACTCTAAGCCAAGGTATCGTCCCTTTATTGTCAATCACCATGCCTGGCACAGTCTGCATTTCTTTGAGTCTCAGATGTCACTGATTGCAGAATGCACCAGTCTTTCATATAGCAGGGAGGAAGAAAGAAAATGCTACCAATTATAAGATTATGAGATTCACTCTGATTTCAACAAAGCTAAATGTGAAAAAGAGTGTCTTAGAATTTACAAAATACTGTTATAAGCATCCAATACATATGTGTTAATTGGATGAATGAGGCATACAGAGGTTAGAATAAGGCAAAACACTAGTGCATATAAGTACAAACTTAGGAATTCAAACTATTAAAGCATGAACCTGTTCATCCTTGTTTCTATTGATTCACTGACCCATTTGTTCATTCAGTAAACAATTACTGAAAACCAGTTATGTGCCAGACCTGTGCTAGGAGCTGGGGATGCAGAAATCAGTAAGTTCCTTTTTTTCAGGTTCAGGCCAGTAAGGGAGACATATGGAAACAAACAAAAATTGCAGTTCAGAGTGGCAAGTTTTAAAAGAAAGTAGGGACATGGTACTGTGTTGGCATGCTTTGTGTGTGCAAAGGACAAAGAAGGGCAAGGGAGTCTTCCTTAAAGAGGTGATGGCTGAGCTGGGACTTAAACTGTAAGTCCATAGCCACCAGACAGACGAGGAGAGAAAGGGGCTAGGAAGGGAAGAGCAAGTGACAGGGGAGGCCTGTAGCAAGCAGTGTGGGGCACTTGAGAGCCTGCAAGGGGTTGGAGGATGTCTGGACTTGGAGTGAGAATGGGCAGGACTGTGTTAGACATGGCCTGACAGCAGGTGGAAGGAGCTCACGGAGGACCTGCCGTGCCATGCCAAGGGCCTCAGCTTGTACAGGTTGAGCATCCCTGATGTGAAATGCTTGGGATGAAAAGTGTTTAGGATTTTGGATATTTTTCAAATTTCAGAATATTTACATTGTACTTACTGGTTGAGCATCCAAATCCAAAATAAGAAATGCTCCAAAATCCAAAACTTTTTGAGTGCTGACATGATGCTTCAAGGACATACTCATTGGAGCATTTCGGATTTTGGATTTTGGGATTTGGGATGCCCCACCTCTATCACAGCCCAAAGCTGATGGTTTTCAGTTGTTCCAAGAAAGGGCCAGCAGAGGAACTGCTGGGGGAAGGTGTGGAGGATGGGGCAGGGTGATCTTTGCTTCAAACAGAGCAGCTCTGTTTTTTTTTTTTTTTATCTGCTTTATTTCAATTCTCTTCAAGTGATGGCTTGAAGAAGAGGTATCGCAGTGGAATGAATGAAGGAATGAATGATTTGAGAATTGTTGCTAATGGTTCCATGAAGCTCCCAGAGGGGTGTGAGCAAGGAAGAGAAGATGAAAACGCACAATGGCTGGGGCCTGAGCATCGTCCTCTGACATTCAGAGGAAGGTTGCACCTGTTTTCACTGTAGCTTCCCCATTTTCTTCTTCCCCTGCCCTGAGCCACAAGCCAAAAGGGGGAAAAAACACAGTTGGGAAGTCATTGCAATTAAGTCAGAAGCAATCACTTTTAATAAAGCCTGTTTTGTTTTGTTTTTTTTCTTTTTTTTAATTGGGAGAAATATCCGGGAAGCAGTAACTGAACATCATCTGGCTGACTTTGTTTTAGAATCCCCAAGTGTGACTTGGCAAGGGAACATTACTGTTCTGAAATTGAAGGGCTTAGAGAGCTGTTCAGGTTGAAATTAGACTCTGGGCGCTAAGACTGCCCCGAGCTCACCTGGGGAGTTGCAGAATGGTCACCAGTGCACTTATATTGGGGGCTTGTTCTTGTTCTTTGAAAGGCCAATCTGGAAAATGAAAGCCTCTGTGAGATTTCTGTCATGTGGGTTAATCTGACCAGAGGGAATCAGAGCAGCCATGAAGGCCAAGGAATTCCTGAGTGTTCTCTGGTCAGATTTCCTTGTAACTCAGGAGGAGTCTGTAAGGAAAACAGATTGCCTAACAAATTCCTGATCCTGTCGCCCTTGGGACTCTTCCCCAATTCCCAGTCACTTCACGACATGGCTGCAGTATATTTGCCTCTTCTGCAAACCCGTACTGCATTCTTTTAAGAAAGAAAGGAAAGAGCATGAAATGGGATTGCACAGATGTGGGGCTTTAGATCCAGCCTGCCTCTGAGCGAGGCTGGGCAAATTCCTTAACTTTTCAGAGACCTGTTTTCTCATCACTGTAAAGTGCATACTGATAACAATGTGGATTTACTGTTTATGAGTGTGTGGACCTAGCATTGAGCAAGAAGTTATTTATCTCTTGGAGTCTTACCTTAATCACCTGTCACATGCAGATTTAAATGTACTCACCTAAGTCATAGTGAGGTGTAGAGGGACTGTGTGCACTTGGCATGTAATAGGTGCTCAGTAGATCATTTGTTGAATGAATGGCCGATTGGGAAGATGTGGTTTCTTTTCAGTACCATGGCTGCTGTGTCCTTGTTGATTCAAATTCACTGAGAACAAATTCATCTCTATTGCTTCCAGATTCTCAATTATCCCACCCTCTATTTGCCCTATAGCACTCATCACAACTTTGCTGAAATAATTAAATGCGTAATGTCTGACTCCCTTCCAAGGATGCAGATGTGATGTCTGAGGCCATGTTTCTTGTTCACCCTCCACCTTGCACAGTGCCTATCTGCACACTGTTAGCACTAAAAAGTTTTATTGGATGAATAAACAATAAATGGCCACTGGGTAGGTTGCTGCACCCCTTTTATTTCCACTTTCAGGATGTTTTGTGGCTATTTTGCAGGCCCACTTGGTCTTCACGTGGTTTTTGCATTTGTTCACCATAGGTGGAGAGAACGCAATGTCTGGTGGGGAACGGGAACCACGGAGCTACTATGTGGGCGTGGACGTCGGAACAGGCAGTGTCCGTGCAGCTCTGGTGGACCAGAGGGGGGTCCTTTTGGCTTTTGCGGACCAGCCAATTGAGAAGTGGGAGCCTCAGTTCAACCACCACGAACAGTCCTCTGAGGATATCTGGGCCGCGTGCTGTGTTGTCACAAAGGTATGGGCAAACCTGGGGTGTTCTCTCCTTGCACCTGTTCCCACCTGCCGAGTGCTGGTTGGGTGTCCACCTGGTACCAGGGACTCTGTTGGGGTAACTTTGATGTAGAGCTGAGCAAGACTTAGGTCTTGCCTATCAGGAGCTCACAGTCTGGTGGCAGAACTGATAAACAGCTAAAATATGATGTGATATGTGCTGGGAGCAAAGTGACTGTGGCTGGAGCTGAGAACAGAGCTGACCCTGAGGGAGCTCAGGGAAGACAGGACAGAGGATGCAGAAGCTTGAGGTGTGACCAAATGTGGAAGAAGTCACTGATAATCATAGCTAACATCTCCTGTGCCTTTATTGTCTTGCCAAATGCTGTGTAAAACATGTTAACGTAACTTGTGTAGTTGAATCCTCACAACAACCCTATAAAGGTAGTACTATTACTACCCCCATTCTATTGAGGAAGAAATGGAGGCACAGAACTTAGGTAACTTATCCCGTTCATACAGCTGGTAAGTAGTAGAGGCAGGACTGGTGCCTAACCTATCTGACTGCAGAGCTGCACTCTTACTAATCAATGGACTCTCCTGCCCTCCAATTGGACAAGTGAGGGGAACTGCGTTTTGGGCAGAGGGAACAGCATGTGCAAAGGTGTGGTGGCTGAAAAACACGATGTGTTCTGAGAAAGCGAGGAAGCTGGGTCACACTAGAGCATCTCTGATATGTTTAAGGCAGATGTTCATCTGAGTGGCCTTGGATTGGACTCAGCCTGCTGGCTTTGGAAAATAAGTGATGCTGGACAATACTGTTCAATTTTAAAGTTTCACTTGACTATTTGATTTCTATATCCTGGTGATCAGGAACAGCTTAGATCCTTTGTCCTTTTTTCCAGAGAGAAAAAATAAAGTGCTGGATTCCTTCTTCTCCCTGTTCCTAGTTTAGTTCCTTAAATATTCATGAGGTGCTTGGTAATTTGCAGATGGACAATTCACCATTCTGTCTTTATTGATTGGTCTGTTTAAACTTTAATGAGCTCTGGGCTGCTGTTAGTGCCTCTGGAGAAGAAGGCAGAAGAGGAGGTAGGGGTGGGCAGCACTGGAGCATTATGCAGGAATAAAATAGGGGCACATATTCTCTTCTGCTTGTTTAATTTTTCTCTTCCCCCGGCTCCTTGCAGCCCCCACCTTGGTGAGAATCTTCGACTCTTTGCCCTTGGGTCTCCTTTGTTCTTCTAACATATAGCCTTGCTTGCCATTAAGGAAATTGTCAAGAAGAAAATATAATCCCCTGATGAAAAGCTATTTTAAAAAAGGTCTATTCTAAGTACAGCTTGGTTTAATGGTAGATTTTTAATCATCTCCTGGTGGCAGGCAACTCGTCATCTGTTTGAGCCCTGTTAGCCGCATAAGTGCTGTGGGCATTTGTCCTTAGTGATGGTATCTCACTACGGCAAACCTGAATAAAGCTCTTGGGTCTTGGGCCATTCCCCTCACGTGGAGTATGGATATGTGGCCGTGTGCCAGGAGCCGCAAGATAAGCATGACACATTTACTCAGATCATCATTGCTGGTGTGGGGTTTAAGGAGCGAAGCATTTCTATATTAGAGAGGTAGCACCATAGAACACAGATTCTGGAGCCAGACTGCCTGGATTGACAGCCCATTTCCAACATTTATTAGCTTGCAATCTTGGACAAGTGACTTCATGTTTCCTGCCTCACTTTTGCTTCACGGTAAAATAGAAATGGTAACAGTACCCACCTCCATAGTGTTGTTGTGAGGATGAATTGAGTTAATGCATATAAAATACCATAACTGCCTGAAAATGAGTGAGCACCGTATTTCCTGTGGTGGTGGTGGTGATGATGATAGGAATGAGTAGGTTATGAAGGACAATGAATTTCCAACATAAAATACTGAAAAGCCAAAGTCTATGGGGGGAGGCACTTCTTGGGAATATTCAAAATGTNATAAAATACTGAAAAGCCAAAGTCTATGGGGGGAGGCACTTCTTGGGAATATTCAAAATGTAGGAATATCCTTCTGATTAGGTTCCTTCTATGTGAGACTTTGAGAAGCACTGGTCTAGGGCAAAAGGTGGCATAAAATATATCGTGGCCTTTCCTTTTGTATGCACTCCAGGAAGTTGAGAGCTGGAGAGCAGGTGTATTACTTCCTTTTCCCTAAGTCGTTTACATTGCCCGAGATGATTTCCCCTTCAGTCAAGTTAATAATAATAAGATGATATGATGATGAGGTAATGGCGGCTAACATTTCTTAGGCACTAATTATGTTCCAGGTGCTATGCTGAATACTTTATACCCATCCCTTCATTTTATCCTTACAACAACAACCTTTTACAGTAGTTTTTATGACTGTTTTAAAGATGGAAGGAAAAAAAAAAAGAGCCCTGAAGAGGTTCAGTAACCAGCCCAAGGTCTCATGGCTGATAGGNGATATGATGATGAGGTAATGGCGGCTAACATTTCTTAGGCACTAATTATGTTCCAGGTGCTGTGCTGAATACTTTATGCCCATCCCTTCATTTTATCCTTACAACAACAACCTTTTAAAGTAGTTTTTATGACTGTTTTAAAGATGGAAGAAAAAAAAAAAGAGCCCTGAAGAGGTTCAGTAACCAGCCCAAGGTCTCATGGCTGATAGGGGGAAGGGTGGGATGTGGCTTCTGCCACTGTCACCCTCATGCCCTGCCCTTGCCCCTCTCTCCAGCCTCATCTCTCTCCACATGGTCCTGCCTGGAAATTGTATGAAGCAACCTGAAGTTATGTAGATTTGCTGCTATGTGTGTGGGACACCATGAGCTTACCCTGTTTGTTGTATGCCACACTGGATTACAAGTGCCTTTACCTGGCTGTCTGCTCATGTGGAAACTGTGCCTCTGAGTAGGGGTCATAACTTATTTATCTGTATTCCTCTAGAGTTCCTTGCTTGTAGTATGCTCAACTAATGTCTGTTGAGTACATGAATGAATGAAATGTCTTTGTTGTTTTCACTGTTTGGGATATTCTCTCATCTTCTTCACCTGTCCAACTCTCAGTACCTTTTAAGTTAAAAGGTAAGTTGAGCATTGCTTCCTCCTGGGAGCCTTCCTTGTTGAACTCTGACAGTCGCTACCCTTCCTTGCCAACCTCAGAGGGAAAAGAGGGCAAGAAGACCCTATCTGTTGCTTCATCTGTAACATTATCCAGCCCTTATCACATTGCATCTTAGTTGTTGGCTTCTTTGGTCCCTTTTAAACCGTGAGCTGAGCTTTGGGAGAGATTCATATCTGCATCTCCAGTATCTAACATGTTGCCTGGCACAAATTAGTTGCTCAATTAATGGTTGTTGAATTAATGTTACTTGGAGCTAAAAACAAACAAACCAAAAATACTCTGGCATCCCTCGTGTTGTTTAAGTGTGGCAATCATTCAGTGAGATAGAAGGACAACTATCATTCTTTCTATTTGACACATGAAATTGAGGCTTTGAAACTAACAAGTATTAGAGACAAGACTAGAACCCCAGTGAGATGGCTTCAAATCCTCTTCTCTGTTCTACTCTGCACTACTCCTGAAATTGTTAGGGCTCTATTGGGCCAGTACCCAGTACACATGAAATGTTCTATGGAAACACACAAGTCTATGTACCTTTTAGGAGCCACAAATCTTAATCACTCCAGCAAGGCGAGAACATTACAAGTTAGTGCATAGTGGCACTGAGCTTCCTTTAGGAAGAAAGAGATGATAAGCTGGAGGAATCATTTAGCCCACAGGCATTATTTTGGTTGCTGTTGAATGCCATTCTTTCATTTATTCCGCAGACATTTATTGAGCACCTATTATGTGCTATGCTGTTTGCTCAGCACTGGAGCATATATAGGAGAGGTATACAAGAAGTTTTCTGCATCCAAAGGTGAAACAACTTAGCTGCATGAACAAAAACAACACAGATGAAGCCAGTGAAGTGGCATTTTGTTCTCTGTTGGTACTAGCTATGTGAGTAATGGTTGTGAGGAAAGGTGGCAGAAGAGAGAGTACCCCATGTGGGATTGAGCAATAATGTTAACCTCTTACATTTACAGAACCATTATAGTTTACAAAACACCTTCATATCCATCTGATCATTACTTCAAGGTAAGTAGGGAAGGGGTGGTCATTCGTGTTTTACAGTTGAAAAGAAAAACTAAGGTCATC